TGGCAAAACCCCTGTTTGGCACTCCATTTCACACAGGCTACACACTAAAGGCCTCACATGGCCTGCAAGGCCCTACCTACTCAACCTCACCTTACCCTTCTGACCTCCTTTCTGATTCCTCTCCCGTGTGACCCTGTACAGCCGCTGTGCCAGCTTCCTTGCTCTTCCTCAAAGAGACCAAGCGTGCACTACCTCAGGGCTTTGCACTTGCTGTTCCACCTTCCTGGAATGCTCTAACATCTGCTACCTGCATGGCTTGCCCCATCACCTCCTTAGGTGTCACCATCTCACTGAAGCCTTCCCTCGCTACTCTGTTTAAACAAGCAGCCCCACAGGACTCTCCTTTATCCTGTCTCTGCTTTGTTTTCTCCTCTAACATGAGATATTTTCCTTACTTTGTTTATTGTCCATCTTCCCTTCCCTTCCATGAGAATAAAGAATTTTTGTCTATTCATTGCTATTACATCCCTCAAGACCTGGAGTAAAGTTGGTGCTTTATAACTCTTTATTCAAGGAAGGGATGAGAGGAAGGAAATTCCGATTTGGATGTTTTTAAACTATAAGCAAAATTTTCATGTCATGTATCTATGCTTCATTCTATCGCTGTGAGGCTTATACTCCTCATCATTGCTGTTATGGGTAAAATTTCCTATACCTGGTTCTCTGGAGAAGGTTTCCATTTGGTAAAACATGCTGCAGCAGGTTTTCCCCCACAAAGTGCTATTCAATTATGGGGGTGGAATTCCTTAACATAAATAATTTAAAAATAACATTATATATCACTCCTAATCACCGTGGCTACCTGGAGTTAGAATGCTTCACAAAAACTGTTTCCTACCTAGCAGCTAATAAGCACTATTTATTTGTAAATGATACTCAATATACACTTGTTGACTGATTGGCTTATGTAGTACAGCAAAAATCAGAACAAATAAGTGATATCTCTGGGAATTTACCTATCTAGCAGACATTCTAAGGAACTTTGCTGTAAGTACAGTCTTGGTTTTAGTTAATGGTGAGTCCTAAAATATCCATGGGGTTTTCATTACTATGGACGCTAATTGAATAAGGCATTAGATATTTAATCAGTGAATCACCTTAAAGAATTATATTGCTATATATACAGCCTTACCCAATAAAATGATTTCCTTTACAAAAATAACTTAATTTTTAAAAAGAGTTTATTTATTTGAGAGAGAGAGAGAGCACAAGCAGGGTGGAAGGGCAGAGGAAGAGGGAGAAGCAGGCTCCCCGCTGAGCCGGGAACCCGAGGCAGGGCTCAATCCCAGGACACTGAGATAATGACCTGAGCTGAAGGCAGCTACTTAACCAACTGAGCCGCCCAGGCACCCCTAAAATAACTTAATTGTTTATGTAATCATCAAGATATATGGGAAGATCACAAAAAATGGTAATTTTTTTAAAGTGACTTTTTCATGTATTAAAGAAGAGGGGGACATTGAACCCACAAGCAGTAAGAGCAGATTCTCAGAGTGACTTTTATAATGGCAAAACTTAGGTCACTTCTAAATAAAATAGGTGAGGGGCACCTATGTTGGTATAGGGAACATATGTTGGTATATATTGGTATAGGGAAGTTTCCAGAAGCTTTGAAAAACTGACATGTGTAGTATGGGAACTACTGAGACTAAACTGGAGTATTGATATAAAAGAAGACTGCAGATACTGCTATGATTTTAGGTAATATCATAATAGATGCACTTTAGGTAATATGGTAACAGTGCAGCAGAATATGCAGTACTCCACATATGAACAGAAAGGAACCTTTTCTATACCCCTTCTGAATTTTCTCCTTTCCCTGGGTTTCTCAGGCACAACAGACCAGACCTTGACTGGGTGTTACCTCTGTACATCTAAGTGGAACAATTTCCTTATAAAACATGCCACCAATTTAAAAAAAAAAAAACTGAAGCATGTGCTTGAGATTACATGTATAGACCAACAGAAGTTAGAAACACTTTTTGCCTTCCATCACTTCATACAGTTAAGCCCACATAGGACAGAGATCATTTCTCTTCTGAGGACACATTGTCAGGACTTTTTAAAGGAATGTCACAAAATAGAGAACTGAAATTAATAATTTTCATTTCTTATTTTTTCATGTTTTTTTTCTGATTTGGAATGAAGAATCATTACATTGTTTATTTTTGTTATTTAACCCAATATGGGTTTTATTGGATTTTCTGTTATAAACTGGAGTATTCAAGGTATTAGAAATTATAACAGGCAGCCTCACATGCCATTACATTTTATATTTACCTCATGTATGACTATAGGACAAAAAAATTTCAGTTATTCACCAATAGATTACCTCTGTAAGAAATTATAATAAAAAGCATGTTAAACAAGAGTGACTCTATGCTGGATTTCAAAATGTAGTGGGTGACTAAAAACCACAGACAGAATAATATCTCCAGGTAAAAACTGTGTTTGAATTGCCTTATACCTATATTCTAAAAATCTTTTACCTGCAACATTTTAACTTATTTCAAAAGATCAGTTTGTTTTATCAGACTGTGATGTGAATTAAGGATATTTATTATTAATAGACCTAAATACTGCTCAAAGTAGCAGTGATTACAACTCAAGCTCATTTTTCCATGACTTTCTAGATTTTTGACAAAGCTCATATCTTAGCACATTACCAACTTTAATTACTGAGTGAATTTAAACTTTTTTTGGGGGGGTGCCAAGAGTATATAATTTCCAAGAGGCCAATCAGGAAAGTGTACATAATTGAATGCGAAATTTTTCTAGTCCTTTGGTTAATGCATTACCATTTTGTTGGCAGAAATGATAGAGGTTGTTGGTGTGCAGCCAACTCTAAGTTGTTTAATAGATGTCGAAGTACAGACACATCAAAACAAAGTTCCCATAAAACTCCATGTTGTGGAATGATTGTAACCCCTTCCCTCACCAAATATGAAGTTAAGTAAGCTGGGTGTCTATACCTCTTTTGTTTAGGCCTTGGTGGAGGTGCCACTTACTTCTTCACAAGCTTCATAATTACAGAAATTTGACCGTTCTTGTGCTCTTTTCTTGCTTCATATGTTAGAAAATTTATTTGGTCAAATATCTTCAATTTTAGGTCTCACCATTTTCTATTACACTTACCCCTCTGTTTTTGTAGAGTTGATTTCCATACTTAAGTCAGTGTCCATTCTTCTAAGCCCTTCAGCTCTTTCCTAACCGCTAATATAAACATGATTACCATTCAAATGTCACTTTGATTTCTTGTTTTGTTAAACTGCAACTCCCTCCACACCCACAGTCCATTAGGATGCTGAGCTCTACCATACTTATTTAATAGTCCCAAGAGCCTTGAGGCAGGGACTGACACACCGAGGTTTAAAAAAAAGGCTCAGCTTATTATAGAAGAAGGATGTAATAGTAGCAAGAGAAGGACAGCTTAATAAAACCATCTCAAGATAACCAAAGCTACAGTAGCATTGAGCAGCAGCTAGGCACTTAGGAAATGAAATGGGTGCCAGATCATTCATGTTACTTGTAATTTCTTGTAATCAGTAGTCATTACTAGCTACTCGACCACTGTAACTTTCAAATTCTCATAATGAAAATTCAGAACGCTGTGATGTGAAAGTACACCCCTGCTGTATTAGTGTTAAGAAGTTGTATCTTTCATAAAGGACGATCAAGTATCCTCCAGGCCAATAAGGAAAACTTTTTATTACATGATTGCCCAGCACACAGTAGGGATACAACATTTTAGTTTTAGTAAGTGGATGATTCTTCTGCAAAAAGCACATTCAAGTTCCAGATCACCACCAGTAGGCATTTACCACTGAATTTCAGATACCTGCCAAAACCAGAACTATATAGGAATCAGTCTTCTCTATGTATTATGATGGATAGTATTCCAATCTTGAAACCTGGAACTGAGTTTAGCATTTTCTATTTGTGTATTTAGAAGTCTCCTTTCTACTACTGTTAGTAAATCTCTAGAATACATGAATCTGATTTTTACATATCCCCTTATTCACTCAGTGGATATTTACTGAGTACTTGCTATGTGTCAGGCACTGTGCACAGTGACAGGGATGTATTCGTTCATTCAATGTTCAGATTGTCTACTCTGTCCAGCCACCATTCTAGACTCTAGACATAGTAGTGAACAAGATAGTCATAGTTGGCAGAGGAAAGCACCAAGCCTTGAACTTTTATTTCTTGGTTCTCCACAGACCCTGGTTAAGCAGTTACTGTCTTAATTTGTGATTTCTTGAAGTGGTGCATAACTATGCAGAGTTTATATTTTAAAGGACCAACCGATTGAATGTTATTTGTGTAATGACAAGATAAAGTACAGGCATGACAACTAGAACACAGTTTTCACCATATTCATTGTGAGACTGTTTCTCCCTCTCTCTCAATCTCTCTCTCTTTACCCCTCTCCTTCACTCCCCGCCCCCCGGTGCCCCACCCACCACTCCTTCCCTCTCCACTTCTCCATTACACTTATCTGAGCATAGGATTTCTGTTCACTTCAAGAGTTCTCATCTTAGGTCACCACAGTGAGATGTACTGCCAGGAAAGAAACCAATCCTTGGAAATACATTGAGGAAATTAACACACATATTTATCTAAAAGACAATACACACTCAGAATGTTTCAGATGGTTCTAAAGGTGAAGATAAAGTTTTATGTTCAAAAAGCAAACAATGACATTGGTTTGGACTACATTTGGAAGTGGGTATTAATAAGGACAAAAAGTTCATACTTTAAGCATACTCAGAAACTTTTTCTAATTTATAAAACTAAGAGCTTTGATATGTGGTTGATAAGCTCAGAAAATTAAATTGGTTGAACTTTCAGGGTACCAGTAAAAAAAAAAAAAAACAAAAACAAAAAAAACAACACAAAGTTATGAAAAGTATAGTGACTAGAATATTTTATATTGACATGAAGTCTACAGTTTTTTAAAATGCTAAATATATAGTAAATTACTGTGCTTTGCCCAACAGATACCTGAGGAGTCCCACATAGAGAACCGTAGAGCTGCACTGACCAGTAGGATTCTCATTTTTAGATTGCCTCCATCAAGAATGCAGTGTTGGTTCTATTGCTGATGAGCAGTGATCTGTCTGCCCGCACGTGTTTTGTTTTAGCTGACATTAAACCTGTCTCTGATAAATGCTTTATATAAAGGAAACAGCTCTAAAGCTCGAGGATTCTCTTCAACTTGTATGCAGTATTAAAGATAGTGATAAAGAGATAAAGAAGAACATCAAAAAATATGAAGGGATCATTTCAGCCTTTTGACATCTTGATGAAATCAGATCACTCAAAAACTAATCAGTACTGCCGATAAAGAAAACCTAAATGTCTGTTTGTAACAAGCCAACTGGTACTGTTTCCCTCTTTCAGTTAATCACTGGACTGTGTTGAATCCTGAGATATAGCAATGTTATCTTCTGTGTTCTGGGTGATGTGCAACCTTATTTGTGAAGGTGTGTTTTGTACCAAAGGCTCTCCTACATAGACTGGCCCATTTTACACGTAAATAAGTGAAGTCTACACTGTGCCCAGATGAATGGTATTAAACAGACTGGCCTAAAAGAAATGTGCCTTGCTTGATTAAACATCCTTTTATTTTTTGATTTAAAATTATAGATTTGCAATTAGTCTCATAGGTAGCTTTTAGTTTGAACATAATTTAAAGATACATTAGTACTTATATGTTTAAGTTATCTATTTTAACTGAAATTTTAATACTTAGTTATAGTTTTCAGCAGTTCATGTATAATATACTCATTCGGGTTAGTTTTCATGTGATGTTTGGTGTGGTGAGACAAAGCACATTCTTAAAGATAGAATATTTCATCTAATGTTTATAGAATTTCCTTCAGATTATATCTGTAAAAGGTTTCTTGACTCATTTTCTATTTTTGTATTTTATTCCTTTAGAAATGGAACTTTTTCAATAAAAAAAGCAAAGTTTTAGTTGGAAAAGAGATTTAGGAGGTCATGAAGATGATTTCCCATTTGGGGATATTTCACTTCTGTGCCATTATTAATGTATTTACTGTGACATTTCAGCAGAATGGTAGCTATTTGTATATTATTTAATAAGCCTTATGGAAAGTCAAACTGTGAACATTTGGTATACTGAAGATTTTTTTCATTTTCATATTTTATTTTTGAAACATACCTGAACAAATGCATAAATAACCAATTTCCTGTTATTCAAGTACATAACGATGCTAAGTTATAATAAGAGGGCTTGTAGAATTTCCATTACTATCGAAGTATTCCAGTAGCAAAGCCAAGATTATAATACTTTCTGATGCCATGTAGAAGGAAATATGGTGATGAATTACATTGTTAATACATAAGAATAGGTAACTGAAACAGTCTTATAGCTATTAGCAGCAACAGATGGGTAGGAGATATAATCCAGGTAACTTTCTTTGAGGCAATGTCTACAATGAATTCTGTAAAATCTGCTGGTATTTTTTCTGTGGTCAAAATTTTGAGACCAGATCTCTCTAGGAAAAAGTGAAGTAAAAGAGTGGTAAGTATCTCAGATTTGAGCTATGTGAACCTCCCATCTGGGTGATTTGTGATTCAAGTGAAAACATAGCCAAAGCCACCACCATGTTTTTGTTCTGTGTTAGCCCACAAACGAGAGACACTGGCCCAGGGAATTGTCAATCCATTCTAGCCACCTAATACTCATAACTGATGATCCCAGACTGGTCAACAGTAAAGTAATTCACATCAGCTATTGGCATGATTGAAACAAACCAATTAACTGTCCCATAGAGGTCTTTGACATTCAGATGTTTCAGTAAGGATCAGTAGGCATTACAAATATAGACATAAGTACCACCTTCAGGAAACACCAATGACACAACTTTAAGCATTATATATACTTCATATCATGTCTGCATTATTATTATTACAGGCCACAGTTTCAAACAAAGACAAAGCCCGGACTTTGCAATAAAAGCACAGAATGGCACCAGATGAGTAGACTGTCATATCCAATACGGTTCACCCGAATGTGTAGCAAAAATATAGCATTGGTCTAGATATTATGAGACCAGAGTACCTACCCACTTTCTACCTGTGGGACGCTAGATAAGTCACTCACCTTTGCTAGGGTACAGTTTCCTGAATTGCAAGGTGGGTGTGCTGGGTTAAATAATCCCCAAAGCCCATTTCCAGCCTCCAAATCCTCATTTATATACATTTGAAAAGGCTTTGAAGAATACTTAAAGTACTCAGATTTTCTTATGCATCTCAGAAGGAAAGACTACATTGAAATAAGATTTAAACCTTGAAAGTGTCATAAATACACCATTCTTCAAATTGAGTGTGAGAAGGGGAAATAGGATTTTTTTTTTCCTCCTCCGAGAATTGTCACTGGCCTCTAATGGGATCATGAAAAAGTAGAAAGACCACTCTGCAGAATGGAAACAGATTAATGAAACTGCTGGAAAGGAGGGGAGATTATTTGTTGATTTTAATTAGATGTCAATATGATTTGAAATTGTATGTGAAATACTAAAAACAGTGCCAGAGCTTTACTACACACTCAACATTATAACCCCAGAGCAGAAGCGTGGGGAAAGGTTAGAGGGATGGGAGTGTTTACCTTATGATTGATTTTTTTTTTTTGCACGAGAGGCAGTTTGGTAGAGTTTAAGCAGGTGCCTGTGCCTTAGTGCTCACTCTGCTGATAACTCAGGTGTCCTAGGGAAAGTACCTTTGACATCTCTGATCCCCAGTTTCTTTATCTGTACAATGAAGACTTTAGTAATTTGTCTGTTTCTCTACATCTTTGAAAATTCTGTAACATTTTCAGAATGTCCTGATACACATATACGTGGACATGTTGCTCCTCTCCTGGCACTAAGATGCCACAGATCTCTGCTCACATGACCGAACAGACTGCAAATCCAGCTGTTCCTATTTCTAATGGACCCTCAGCAAGACATAAAAAAAAGTAACTTTTAATTTTGACCGTGGCTTACCTATTATGACTTACCATTTCATCTTTGAATGTTGAGTTAATTGAAACAAAATTTCTGTTCCAGTGAAACTTCCGTTTAAATTTTTGTAGCTTAATAAACACTTAGCAAATCAGAATTAAGTATATTAGGCTTGCCAATGAACTGTAGCCGATTGCAAGGTGCATTTTTGTCGCATTAAGAAGGTAATGCTGTTTTAGTCCCAGAATCAATGGCTATAATTTGAAATAATATTCACAAAATTTTGTAAATTTTCATGAATACAAAAGAGGCCTGATAGAGCCATATTGTAATTAATTTTGCTCAGGAGTGAGAAACAAAATTCAGGGATAACCCAAACACTTCTGTTTGGCTTTTGTGGACAGTTGGGAAAAGAACGGTTATAGTTTTTGTACAACATAGATAAGAGATAACTATACCCATTGAAAAACAAGAGTATATTCTGGTTGCTGGTTTTATGGTAAAAAGAGATAAGGATAGAAAGATGCTAAAATATGGACACTAGGGAAATTGTTAAAATGATAGTCCATTTGAGTAATACAGAAATATTTTGTCATAATGAGATTATTTGTCCAGAGGTTTTAGTCTTATATCCTTCCATTCAGAAAAGGGGGCAGTTTTTAAAGGCCTCTATCATAATAGGAAATGTATATTTTAACTAGCCGAGCAGTTCATTAAAACATTTAATCTGATGATTTTTGGTTTTGTGAATTCAGTTTAGGTGTAATTGAGTCTCTTATATATTCGTGTTAGTGATATTTGTGAAAAGTAGTTTTATCTATTTTTTTAAAGTTGATGAAATTTGCTTAACAGTGATTCTAGCAAATTGTGTTAATATTGTATCTTGCAACAGTTTGTGAACTGACCATACAGAAACAAACCACAGTAGTATCTCTTCCAGTAAATTGTATCCATGATGTGATCTCTTAATACTGGGTTTGGGGTGGGAAGGTTAAGTATTTAGTTTATTTAAAACTAATTGTCAAAGTGTTTTTCCTATATGCCATAAAATTGTATGATTATAAACCAAATAGTAATATACTCTTCTTTTTTTTCAGTATAGGCCATTTTTGGAACTACCCCATGATATGGTATAATTTCAGTTATAAGTTCCTACAAGGGAAAGCAAACAGTGTATGTAGTATCTCTAGGTCGTATGTTAATGTAATAATAACAGTCGTCCGTTTTTGAAATCTTAGATAGTAATTATGCAGATATCCAAATACAGTTTTTTTCATAGCCGTGTCTTACATTTGTTTATTATGTCAGACTTTGTAAAGATCCTCCATATCTTATTTAATCTTTAAATATGCATATAAAGTGATAATACAATCTGAAGTTTAGAGATTAAACAACAGATAGAAAGATCAAGTGACCTGCCCAAGATCATATGGCCAACAAATGGCTCCAAATCTCATTTTTTTACCCTGTTCTCCTTCTGTCATATTCTTTTGCCCCCATAACTGCCATATCTTTAAAACTTTAATTAAAATCTATTCTAAATGATATTTTGGGAAATTTCAGGTTTGGAGGACAAGGTATTTTTTGCTCTTGTCAGCCCTTCTTAGATACTTCCAGAAGACAGGGTGAGAGCCAAACATTTTCCATCTAGAACATATTAAGTCCGCATACCCTGACCACAGACACCAAAGCCATGTGATGTCAAATGCTAGACTGAAAAGTTGTCTTCGTCACCTGCCCTAATGATGGAACAGTTGAAAGAAGCAATAACCCAAGAAACAGCAGACATTCTGATTCAGGGAAAACACACTATCAGACCGACCAGTGGCTCCGACTCTCAGCTTGTTGTTGCCCATCCCATGTGTTCTGTAATGAGCAGAGGACAGGTGGGGGGAGCGGGCAGAAAAACTGTCCTCATTTTAAATAAACTCCTTATTTCTTAAAACTATTAAAAAAGAATTGGTTATCAAATACTAGATAACTGTATTAGTACCATTTAGCCATAATTCGAATATGCGGTAAAGTTCATCCACATATTTTAAAATTAGGTAATTTCCCAGATAAAATTAAAATCTGACGACTGCTCAGTTTGAACGTGGAGAAGGTTCATGTGTTAAGTCGTGACAGAATACCACACTTTAATTCTTTTTTTTAAACAACAGAGAGGCACTGTTACTGCTTTCCCTTGTAAATCAACAGTCTGTGATACGTTCTGTACCCTTACTGATTAGCAATGCAGTGTTACTGTGCATAATTAAGTGGAGCATATGCTATATGATGTCGGAATTTACAATTTTCTCACCTTAAATTTAGTTCTCTTTATCAAACAGCTAAGTCAAACAAGTATTATTTTGTATGGAATGAAATAATAGTCATTTCCAAATAATGGCATAATAAATAATGGAATTCTGAATAAAATGTAAAATCAAACACTTTTTTCTATATTCTTTCGATATTGAATTATGTTAGTTTATCACTTACTAATGTAAAGCTTAAGTAAGTTCTTATGCCGTATTCTCTAATGTTCTTGTCATAATAAATTTGAGCCTTCTGTTAAGTAAATACAGTAAATATCTGTGAGTTGATTATGTGATATTTTTATCTGATCCATTTTAAAAACTTGTCATTGGCTTTAAAGTGTTTTCATTGCAAATATTATGTGCAGAATTCAATAAAATAAAAAAAAATCCCATCACTCATATGAATTAGTCCCAAACTCTTTCTTTTCTCTCTCTGTCTGCCTATCTGCCTTTTCCCGTTTTACTTTTGCAAAAGAGGAAACATCAAAATGGGGACTATTGTCAGTAGCGTAAGCATCACCAATCTCTGCGGACTGTTCTGTGTCTTCCCACGTGAGTCTTGGGAGGACTTCTGGTTATTACACCTACCGAGTCTTGGGGATGCCAACATTGTCTGGGTTTCTTCCTTGCTTCCTATCATATACATTGTTGAGGGCCCAGAGGAATCTCACGGAAGAAAAAAAGTATTTGTAATAAGCCTGTACCTTCATACTTTGTGTCTGTTATATGAGAAAATTGAAGCAAAGCAAATGTATGAAGGTAGATATAGCAGTGCCCCTGCTCTCAGACAGCTTCGAGTCTAATAGGTGACATACAGACATATTTCTAAGCCTGTCGATTAGGATTCTCACTATTAGGTCCAGAACAGTCACGTGTTAAATAAGGACATGTTGTTTGCAATGTGCATTCACTATTATGTCCAGTATTTTTTTGCACCGTGACAGACTATAATTTCTACTAATCAGCCTGTGCATACCCATTGTTCTTATTTTGTGCTTAGCAATGTGGATCTTAATTCTTTTTCCTAATAGCAGCTAGTTACTCAAACGTATTTGTGCTTTCGGAATGTCAACACATGCTACATCACCAAAACAGAGGCCCTCTTGTTTCCATCTGGAATCTTACTTTGTCTTAAAAAAAAAAAAAAAGAAAAAAGTGCAGATTTAGGCTGCCTTACACATGTAGTAATTAGCTATTAAAGAGCAAAGCATATTTTTCTAAGCCTCTGGTTAATACAAGAAAGAACTGTTTTTAAGCTTTCTGGTCGTGCAGTTTTGGTGGTGGACTCCATGAGCCATAATTTGTATTTCATGTTAAGGAACTAAATCTTTAAATCCTTCGCCAACATTTACGGAGTGAATTAAGAGATGCAGGATTACAAATACCCTCTTTGAACTATGCCTTCCTCCAAGAGAATTCTCACTTTTCTATTGGACTTAGCGGGAGCAAATTACTACATAATTATTACGGCTGCGTACCTTCTATGGGTTAGGGCCCACTCAGTTCTCGGTTCCCCTTCCTGTATTTCTTTTGTATTATAACCTTTATCAATATTGTGCCTTTCTCTCCCTTAGGCCCATTTATCAGGCACTTATAAGTTCATTCATCATAGCCAAATGGGTCACATTATTTTTTTTTCAATCCTTCTTCATTTTCTCTAACTGGTACCTGATGACTTGAGTCATGGCAGAAGAGAAAAAGCCAAATGAAGAACTAAACCTTCTGGGAACGACACTGTCTTTTAAAATTTAAGGTCAGTGAAATCACTGTTTTGGAAATGAAGACACAAGAGGAGAAACAAGGCAGGTAACCCAGAAATCTGATTTCAAAGCATACCACTGACAAGGAAATGAGTGTATGTAGATAGTCTCTCACCCATGTCTGGTCCAATTTGCCAAAATAAATGCTTTTCGATGAAGATGAAGAATACGAGTTGATTCCTAGGCACATCTCATTAACCTTTACAATGTTGGTGAGAAATAGATGCCAGGTACTACTGGTTTAATTTATACCTATTATGCCTGCTACAAAAACAATCATTTCCACATGACCTGAATCTGAAAGCAATCAGGGACTGTGAGAGGGAAGTTAATCCGAGGGCCCAATAGGAATCTGAAAGCCAGGCTCGATGATAAGCATACCTGATGTCTTTAGCTTTCATGTGTCTCTCCAGAGATGCTGAGGAGCTCCTCAGAGGACAATGCTTGTACTGCCTTTTGGTTTCTGGTGATGGAGATGGACATCATTAGGAGAGAGGAGAAAGTGACATTCATAACACAGATGCAAATTTTTGAGGCCGCGTTAATTTTTGCCTTAGAATCTCTGGAGGCAATTTATAGAGCTGTTTGAACTTTATGTCTGCTCTTGAGAAAGTAATGAGTTTGTGATTTTAATATGCTTCTCCCTCCAGGCACTCTCTACACCCATAGAGAGGAAGGCACTGCACTCTGGCCGAGCTCTCAACACGTGTTGTCTCCCGGAAGGAACATGGCAAATGGTACTCCGAGGCCATGCTCCACATGTATGTGTAGTTACCGTCAGACAGCTCGCCGCACAGGCAACCCACATCTGCGTGCCTAGAGTATAAAGTAATGGGGCCTTCCTGCTGCCCTGGGCTTTACAATATTCACAGTATCTTAAGTAGATATAGGTCGATTTATGTTTAAAAGCAATCTATAAAATCCGTAGTCCGTAAAATAAGCAGAGAAGTTACTATCGCACTTCTTAAAAATGAGGAAACTAGATGCATGGTTATGCGATTTGTCTAAAGTCACATGATCAGTACATTTCAGAAAGTGACTAGAATCCCAAGTTTTCCGACTCCTGATCCAAGGGGTTTTCGTGCACAGCCACATTCCCCATCCCTCGTCACCCCTCCTCGCTCAGATTCTGGCTTCCCTGAGTGTGAGGCAGCTGAGGGAGTCATCGTCAGGGTATCTGAAGGAAGGCTTTCCACCGTATTTGTCCTACACGCATTCCAGCTGGCAAGCCTCATGCTGCCTAGCGTGCTCTCCAGACCCAGTCCTCTTGCCTGAAAGTGAGACCCCCCAAGGGAATGAGAACCCTAAGCTTTGCAAACCGGCTAGACCACCACTCCATGAGTCTGTTCATTTATGATGCAGACATGTTTATTCAGTGCCTCTTCTATGCCATTTTCCCCTCTCACTTCAGTGAAAATGGTGTCTCGACCTCTGGAGCTCTGGCTTATCCCCCGTTCAACCTCGTCCTAGACTTGACTGCATCAAATATTGTCTGGCTTGGCCATGGACTCAGTATCTCCACACGCTGGGATGTGGGATTACTATGAAAATGCTTCCTCAGCCATGTGTCCATCCTCAGCTCTATTTGCCCCCTTTCCATTCAAAGTCAATCTTTTTAGACAGAACTTGCCTCTGCTCCCCACCCCTCATTTCTTTGACATTCTACTATCACGTCATCCCCTGTCATCTGGCTTCTGTCTCCACCTCCTCGCTGGATAGCCCCTCTCTCCGGTTTCCTTGTCGCCGTTTAGTTCTCATCCTACCCGATCCCTGTAGAATTTGATGCCTTTGACCCCTCCCTCCTTCAGTTTTGTGACACCGTCCTCCTCCTTACTTCTCTTTCCATCTCTTCCTAGTCACGTTCACTGACCAGTCTTTATCTTGTCACTTCTTAAATCCTGCTACTCCCCAAAGTTCTGATCTCAGCCCTGACCTATCAGAGTCTAAACTCTCCCCCAGGATATATCAACCAATCCCTTAGTTTTAACTGCTTCCCAATCCTTCTCTCCAGCCCAGATCTAGCTCCCGAGTCCTATCCCTACTGTATCCAGGTATTGGTTGCTTTCCCAGCCAGTCATTTCCTCCCTGTCCAAATTCCCTTCTTTGAGAACCCACCACCCACAGTCTACAAGGGACAGCCCTGGAACCCACATAAACCCATTCTCTGTCCGCCAGTGGTCACCTAACCCACACTGAGCCAGTAGATTTTCTCTCCCTGGAATTTGTAATTGAGTCTTGAAGACTTAGAAACAATTAAGCAGAGATCTAGGTCTTGTGAAGTTGAGCCAAGGTCAGTCTCTTGACAACCCTAAATCCATGTAATCCACGTTCTAGTGAAGCAGTACTAAGCCTAGTAGAGAAGCAAAGAGAATGAAACGGAGATAAAGCAGAATGATTGGACAGTCTCAGGGAAAGATACATAGTAGCTACAGACAAATTTCCAGTCTATGGGAGGCCCGACTCTAGCCACTGCCCCTGGGTTCAATGAGACTCGTCTACAACCTTCCCACAGACAATATTTTGTTTGCCAGCCTTATGGGGTTTTCTGGCCCACACAATTTATCTTTTGTACACCAATCTCTTTGCTAGAAATATCTTATTGGGTGGTCTCCAGGCTATCCAAGGTACCTCACTGTCAACATGCCCAACCCAGAGTGACTCACTTCCCACACTCAGCACCTCATTGTACCCTAACTGCATTTCATAATCCAGGGAATGGAACCACTTCTCCTTAATGCTATTATTTAGAACTCTGAGATCATCTAATCTCAGACTTCTCCTTCTCACTCACTCTTTACAGCCACTAAATTCTTGCCACAACTTTCTCCACCCCCTCCATCTCTGAGTTGCTTCTGTGTCTTGTAATTTCTTGCTTATTTTGTTCCCGTAGCCTTGTAAATTTTTCATACTATAGCCTAAGTGATCTCTGGAAACCAAAAATATGCTGATAGCTCTCTTGGCTAAAACGCAGTGACTTGTCCTTTAGCTTCTCAGGAGAAAGCCCAAACATTTTAGTATGATATCCAAGACCCTTCATCATCTAGCTGCTGTTGACCTTTCTCACCTCATCCTTTCTCACTGTGTAACAGGTGCTCTCTGCTTCAGTCACCCCAAGTTACTGTGAATTTCTTGTGTGCGATATGCCCTCTCTTTTATATACCTTCATATCTGCTGCTCCCTCTGCCCACATGCTTTTCTGCCCCACGCCACCCATCCATGCTGTTTTCCTCAGCAGGGCAAACGCTACTTACATTTCAAGGCTGACTTTAAGTGATATCTCCTCTGGAAGACCTGGGGCAAGTGTCTTTCTGATGTACCTTCAACTGACCCCTATCAAAGAACCTAACACAAACTATAACTGTCCTCTCTTCAGTCTCCTTCTCAAAACTGCAAGCAGCTGGAAAGACAACTCTGTGTCCCAGTCATCACTGTATATCCAGTGACTGCTTAATAAACATTTGTTGAGAAGATGGAATTTTTGTCCTCAAAGACCTCACAGTATTAGTGGGAAATGAGAAAGCCTACGATTAAGGCATGGTGACAAGTTCTATACCAGGTAGGCTCTGGGTACTAGGAGAAAGAAGAAAAGGACCATTAACTTAGCTCCCAGGCTTTCTGGAAAACAGAAGTTCGGGGGTGAT